CTTTTACAAGTTTTACGTTGTAAAAATATTAAGTTTTTCTTAAAATTACGAGTATGCTCCCAGTTTTTTAATATATTTCTAAAATGATGCATGCAAGATGCTAAAAACAAAATGATCGTACGTTCGCTTGCTCGTTGTTTTGTTGTGTTTCTTTTTTCTCTCTCAAAATTGGTAGCCAGGGATTTGATAATTTAATTATATTGTTTTTATAACAATGTCACATACAGTGTAATAATTGGGTATATTATCCTTCTCCAGGTCTCCATGTTTTCTTACTGGTCACGTTAACAAGATTCGCCAGACTATGTCCATGTTCTTTTGGCCTGGTTTTTAGTATTTATATATTTGTGTTGACATTTTAGAAGTGTTTGCTAGAGATAATAACAACTAAAGGGAATGGTCAGGTCACATACAGTCTTAGATGTGCGTCAGAAAATGTAAGTTTGATAATCATATCTAGAAATTATAGGTATCTTCTTTAACAGCATTGTAGTAAGAAAAAGAAGTTTAAAACAATATCTAGTCATAATAATATTATATTCGCAAGTCAGCATTCCAGATCAAAGTATCGTACATGGATATTTAAGCTATATTTCTGAAGCAGAATTGTTGATATGGTAGAAAAACTGGTTTGGTCCAGGAAATTGACTTAACTGCAGCGTAACTGTCCGGTTAGCTCGATAAGTAGAGCGTTGTGGTAAATGGGGAGACCTAAGTCATTAAAGTTTTGGTTTGGATTTTATCTTTGTTTACTATCAATTATTAAGGGGGGTGTACTACCAAAGGTAAATTTTTTTTATTTTGTATAGTTTTTCATGTTTTTTGTACTTCTTTTATATTCTTTTTTAAAACAATATACAGTAGAAAATTTTAAGTAAAGTAATTTTTCTTTAAATTTTAAATATCATGTTGACAAAATGCCGTACGGGAGTATATTAACAAAGACAGTATGAGTTCAAGTTGGGACTTGGCTAATGTTTTGATGATATTGATTTTGTGCGTGCGTGCGCATGCGCATGCGTGTGTGCGCGCTTACGCGTGTGCAATTGCGCGTGCGCGTGTTCGCGTGCGCGCGTGTGTGTGTGTGTTTTAATGTCATTTGAACTATTTTTATCCAGTATTGTAACACTGAAAAAAATGAGCATTGCATTCAAGATCTTTGACAGTGCAATGTTGCAATGTTGCGATGTCATTTGTGAGTTGTTCTTTTTTATAAATGTCATGTAGATAAGGTCAATTTACTGTCTATCTGTATACTCATCCTATATTTACAAACACAGTTGTAATCACTGTAGTGAATAACTAACTGTACATTTTCATTCATCCAGGCATAATCACATGACATCATTTTCATTCATCATTATATAAGAATTATGGGTAAAGTCTTGTTCTTGTTGTGAGTTACTATGCTCAGTGAACTGTCTCTTGTTATGTCCTTGTTATGTCCTGTGTTGTTAAGTGATGTCCAATAAATATCTTGTATATTTGTTAAGTAAGAATGTGATTGGATGAGAGTGATTTCATATCATTTTATGCATGGGCAATCTACATTCCTTTTCTAAAAAATCATTTTCATACTTTGCATTGTAAGGTGAACTTCAGTAGTTCTTCATAGAACATTTTGAATATTATATTTATATAAATCAACTTTACGTTTGTTCTTTATAGAACGGATTTGATATTTATAATTTTATATAACAGAGGTCAGCCAGTTGCACCTGGTAAGATACGTTTTACTTAAAATTACTTAAAATAAATGTATTGAAATGTATGAATTAAATAGTTGGAATTGTTTGAAATGTGAATTGTTGAAATGATATCGATATTGAATTTGTATTTTAATTTGTGTTTTGCATTTCATGTATTTATAATTGTTTATTCATTTTATAGGTTTTCATTTACACATCATCAAAATAAATATTGAACACCCAGTCAGAGCTGGTCCCTACCGGGGATGCCATATGTCACGGTTCAGAACTGTTCACTATTTAGGGAAGAAGATGTGTAAGCGGCCGGATTGCTCAGTCGGTAGAGCCGCGGTACGGTATTCCGAGGGTCCCGGGTTCGAGTCCCGGTCAGGCTGCACATTTTTCTCACCCTGGGGGACCGTGATGGTATAAGCTCCGAGTTCAATTTCACATTGTTCTCTTTACCCATTAGAAATTCGAGGACGGGTTGGGAGTTGGTTATTGTGGTTCTTTTTATAGATGTCATTTGTGTGTTGTTCTTTTTTATAAATGTCATTTGAACTATTTTCCTTCAGTATTGTAACACTGGAACGAAAAGAACATTGCATTCAAGATATTTGACAGTTCAATGTTGCGATAGAGACTTATGTAATGTTCCTGTAATCACAACGTTACCATCACAACCAAACACAACAACAACAACGTCTATTAAGACAACAACAGAAATAACCATCAAAACAACTACCGCTTTGACAACAGGTATGCTATTCCATATTGATTATTAATTTATTATAAGCCTAAAATTAATCTATTTTTAGTAGAACCTGATTAGTGTGTTAACCATGTTATTCTTGGCACATACCATACATACATTAATTAGGTAATGTACTTTGAATAACCAAATACACAATGCACAAAACTGTGCAGTGCCGCAGTGGGTGGAATCTCTTGCCTGGTACAACAGTCCGGTCTCGGTTATAAATAAACCAATTTCAGATTTCGAATTTGAATTCAACTCCCTCCCCGTCCCCATCCCCGTAATGAAAACAACGAATTAGATGGTAGCTCAATCAAAGTTGATTATTTTACAAAAATACTCGTTAGCCTCAGTAAAATTATTGACCTTCTCAATTGGTACAATAAAGTTGTCTCGTTTTGAATTTCAAACTGTTCATTGAACGTTTAAGTGTTTTCAATTTCAAATTTAACAAAAAAGCTACCAAGAGCATGGTCAGACTGAGCGGTGCTGGCAAAGGACAGTCATATTCAGTCCGTGAAAGTAATGGATTCAGCTGTATTGTCTAAATGTGGTATTAGCGTTTTTAGTGTGACCTGATATCCAAGCATTCAACAATAAATTATTAAGTTTATACTAATTTATTTTAGTTTGATTGTGTGGAAGCTATACGCTTATTGACAAATACTTTTTTTATTTAAGATCTATTTTAAATGTATTATTTAACAAAATATATGGTTAATATGGGTGTGCAAGGTATTAAAGCATTGCGTATGAAACTATGTTTGTTTGAAAACACAAATGAATTATTACAATTGCTAGATTCAAGATCAGTTATCTGGAAACTGCTATAGCGCCAATGTCTGTGTACTAGGCACTGAAGCTTTTAGGGTGAAGATATTAGTGGCATGATTACTGTATAAGTCTATAGATTTAGTTACCCCAAGGGCGCTACCATTTACATTTGTATTCATTCAAATGCACGATTAATTTAACTTTTGTAAAATTCTGATAGCCAATGCTTAATGTTAAATATATAAGCATTTGGTCAGAATCTATGTTGTTATTGAGGAAGAGATGTTTAATTGTGGTTGTCGATGAACGAGAGTGTCAAACACAAGCTCACCTCTGAGCTCAAAATGCTAAAGTGAGCATAAATGAACTCACCAACTGATTATTATCCCCCGCCGATGGAATCGGGAGGGGGATATAGTTTTGGCGTTGTCCGTCCGTCCGTCTTCCGTCCGTCCGAATTTCGTTTCCGGACTAGTTCTCTGCAACTACTGGCTGGAATTCAACGAATTTTTATGGGAATCATCAATATCAAGAGGAGATGCGCATATCTTCGGCTTGTCCCGGTCAGACCCTTTAACTCAGAGTTATGGCCCTTGATTAGTTATGTAGTATGCATATAGGGTAAAAATCGTTTCCGCACTACTTCTTTGCAACTGCCGGCTGGAATTCAACAAAACTTTATGGGAACCTTCAATGCCAAGAGGAGATGCGCATATCGTCGGTTTGCTCCGGTCAGACACTTTAACTCAGAGTAATGGCCCTTGATTAGTTATGCATTATGCATATGGAGTAAAAATCGTTTCCGCGCTACTTCTCTGCAACTACTTGCTGGAATTCAACGAAACTTTATGGGAATCTTCAATACCAAGAGGAGATGCGCATATCATCGGCTTGTTCCGGTCAGACACTTTAACTCAGAGTTATAGCCCTTGATTAATTATGCAGAGTGCATATAGAGTAAAAATCGTTTCCGCGCTACTTCTCTGCAACTACTGTCTGGAATTCAACGAAACTTTATGGGAATCTTCAATACCAAGAGGAGATGCGCATATCGTTGCCTTGTTCCGGTCAGACACTTTGACTCAGAGTTATGGCCCTTGATTAGTTATGCAGTATGCATATAGAGAAAAAAATCGTTTCCGCAACAGTTCTCTGCAACTACTGGCTGGAATTCAACGAAACTTTATGGGAACGTTCAATACCAAGAGGAGAGGCACATATCGTCGCCTTGTTCCGGTCAGACAGTTTAACTCAGAGTTCTGGCCCTTGATTAGTTATGCAGTATGCATATAGAAAAATATTCGTTTCCTCGCTACTTCTCTGCAACTACTGGATGGAATTCAATGACACTTTATTGGAACCTTCAATACCAAGAGGAGATGCACATATTGTCGCCTTGTTCGGGTCAGACATTTTAACTTAGAGTTATGACCCTTGATAACTTAGGCAATATACAACCAGAGCAATAATCGTTTCCGTGCTACTTCTCTGTAACTACTGGCTTGAATTCAATGAAACTTTATGGGATACTAAGAGGAGATGTGCATATAGTCGCCTTGTTCCGGTCAGATACTTATAACTCAGATTTATGGCCCTTGATTAGTTAGGCTGTATGCATACATCTCATTGGCATTTCCAGATATAACTATTTAACACAAAGTTATGGCTCTGTTATTGCCCTGAATATGTATCAAGTTCAAAGAATATTACTGTTTATGCCATGATTAATATATATAAAGCCTTATGTCATCAGTTGTTGTGTTAATTATAACCAGTACTCGGCGAGGGATATAAATTCAACAAATTTGCTTGTACATTCATTTTTGTCATAATTAACAAAATATTCTCATTATAACCATGTTATTTTGTTATCTTTTGCTATAATTGTGTATAAGCTATAATCATTTTACAGCTGACCCTTGTAGTAGTTCCCCATGCTTATATGGTGTACGACTTTGAAATCGCCGTTTATTCTGTACATGTTCCATTGGTTATACCGGCGCCTTAAGTACGTTTTATATCTTCTTTGACTCTTGAAGATACAAACTTACACCTGGATTTAAAAAAATGAGAATTATGGCTTCGAGCTCTCCTTGGATCATGAAGCTCTTTCCAGGTACAACGCCAGTACCAATTCTTTATGGACTCAACTCCAAACGTTAGTCCCCCATCCAAACAGAAATAAATATCGCCTAGTACCGTAAACAACTTATGAAAATGCAATTTAATTTATGATTTAATTTTAAATCATTATATTTAAGCGGTTGACCATTGTGTATCCAACCCATGTGCTCATGGGACATGTTCATCCAGCGTTCACTCATATGTGTGTTCTTGTGAACAAGGCTGGATAGGATCGAATTGCAAAACTCGTAAGTGTAAATTATTTGACATTTTTTAACGTCAGAACAAAAATTCTTGAAAATGATATCGAAGAAGACTATGAGCAAGTTTATTGCCCGTAATGAATATTTTATATTAATATTAATGCCTATATTAATACTATTATCCTTTTGATAATTAATATCTTATTTAATTTATAATTTATATCAATGATAATAGTCAATATTATTATTACTCTAATTAATTTTTTGTTTTACTATATTATTATTATTATTGTTATTGTCTTACTGTGAAATGAGAAAGGCTTGCCACCTTCGAAGGAGAGGGTGTATATTGTTTTGCTTATGTCTGTCGGTCCGCCGGTCTTTCAATCTTCATAATTCATATACAGATTGATCATAACTAGTAGTTGACCCCTATTAATTTTAGGGTCTCTAGGTCAAAGATCAAGGACAGGGGAGGCCTTAAATGTTAGAATGGTTTCCGCTTATTATCTTGAAAGCTATCAATCACAAAGTCTTCATATTTCACGTATTGATTTGTCATATATAGTAAATGACCCCTATTGACTTTAGGTCACTATTTCAAGGGTCAAGGTCACAGGGACCTTAAATGTTAGAATGGTTTTCGCTTATATCCTGAAAACTATATATCATAAAGTCTTCATATTTCACGTATTGAATAGTCATTTGTATTAGATGACCTCTATTATTTTGGAACCACTGAAGCAATTGTCAAGGTCAAAATGGCCTTAAAATTAAGAATGGTTTCCGCTCATTACTTTGAAAACTTTTTATCACAAAGTCTTCATATTTCACATATTGATTAGTCATTATGGGGTAACTAGTTCAAAGGTCAATTTCACATATTGATTGGATATTACAAGTAGGTCACTTTTCCCCACAACTGAACACTTCCATGTACCCATATATGGCAAGTTTCTACAATGAAATTACCAATAGAACGAGTCAATGGCTAGAAATGGGACATATGTGTCTTTCGACATTTCCTGTTATACTTTTCTTTTGTAGCTGATCCCTGCACAAATTCTCCATGTTACAATGGTTTCTGCTCAAGTTTTGAAAATGGTACATTTTCTTGTATATGCAACAGTGGTTATACAGGGCAGCTATGCGACTTTGGTAAGTTTTAACTAGTCTGCCTTCGTTCCAAAGATAAATTGCACTTTTATTGTGTCTGCGATTTCATGCACTGAATCCTTTTTAAAGTGTACTAGATTACAGTGTGTCTTTCCAATAAAGAATCCCTTTTCTTCGATAATTTAATGAACAGTTTCTTAACATTTTTTGATATCAAAAAAAATCTTAGGGGGACATTTTTTTGTTATTTATGGGGAATTGACGAAATATTAAACGTTATAACCTTGCAAATTTAATGTTTTTTTTGCTTTTGAATTAAAAAAAAAAGGGTCAAAAAATTTCGTAGAAAGAATATAAAAATTCAAAAATATTCCCCTTTACAGCACATAACCTTTATGAAATCCATGTGTACATGGCACGTGCACACCGAGCGGCAGACATTTCATTTGTTATTGTGAACACGGATGGACAGGAACAACTTGTAATTCATGTAAGATATGACAAATCTAAGGATCAGAAAAAAGACAGCAATACGCTATCATATAACGCTTTGATCGGTACAAGTAGAATAATTATAATTTGGTAGAAACATCATGATTATCATGTTTCATTTTTCTAGATCTTTTAAATCTTTGTTTTAAATTGGTTATTTTAGTGTTGACCATTTATATTCATAATCTTGCAAATTCATATATGAAATCAATTATAGATTCTGAAATATATTTTCACAAATATATTTGAAGGCGTCATTTTGCTTTTAAATGTAGTGATAGATCAATGTGCTTCAAATCCGTGTTTACATGGACAATGCACGGGCGACTTGATGTCATATAAGTGTAATTGTACCATTGGATATGTGGGCAACCACTGTGATACAGGTAGGCAATATGTTATTGTTCCAACGTGAAGGTAGGTCTTCTTTATCTGTTAGTGTTGTCTATTTGACATAAGATGTACATTGTATTATAATTTGTGACTTCATTTGTGTTAGTTGTTTTGTTTGCTGTTATCAAATTCATTTGACCAATTATTATCTACCGCTACATAATATCTTTTGTATTCTTTATGTTAATAAAGATGTTTTCAAATATGATTATTTAGTAGCACTACTAAAGTCCTTTTTTGTTGGTGAATAAGTCTTTTATTGTTTGTGTTTTCTTTTATTACATACTTTTTGTTTGTTTTTTATGTGTGCTGTCTATTACTTTGTAAACACCTATTTCAGCTTGTAGCCGGGACGTTCTAGTCAAAATCGACCAAACGCTCCTTAGCAATTATTATGTCCCATCAACCAGGCAATTCTTGCAAAAACTAGTCAGCAAAATGCAAATAGGATCCAATGGTATATACATGGGAGTGTCAACGTTTTACGAATCTGGTGTTGCTTTTGGTTGGGGACTTGGTTGGTATGTATGAGTGATAAAAGTATAATTTATTCTGCTGAATTTGTGTAATTAGTTTTGCCTGAATTTGAATCATGAACACATTTTTACAAGATGGAAAACAAAAATGCTTGTTCGTATCATTGCAAGATTTTTAACGGGTTAAAGTCAAAGTGTCAATGCCTTACATTTTGTTGTTTTTTTTTCACATGAAAAAATATCAATAGAAGTTGTGTTGTTGTTGTTGTTGTTTTTTGTTTTGTTTTCTTGTTGTTTTTTGTTTGTTTTGTTTTTTGTTAGTTTTTTTCTTACTTCCTTTATTAGCTGCACCTTTCCAGGCTGTATCTTAATATAATGAATATAGCTTGCTTTGAAAAATGTTTACCGAATATCGGGGTTTTTTATTGTTAAGCAATGTAATTACTTGACAGCGAATTCATTCGTACATAATCATCCGACTTTAATGACAACCATTCTGTCATCTTCGCCAAGATTATTCCAGACTATTTGTAAAAGAAAGTATCTAATTATTGTACGAAAATCTTTCAACAGGAACACCAACAAAATCAGTCTACTATCTTCAATTGGACATCTCCAGCATCAACCAATGTCTGGACTTCCTGATATATTTCAACCGGTACATAGCTTATATATCCACGCAACAGGCGGACATGATGGTCGTTATGATGTTCCAGATGTAGCTTTGATCATCACTGGTCCATTCAAAAATAGCCAGTATAGCTCCAAATCTGAGTCGGATAGAATAAACACGGTTATGCCGATTGTAACAATAGGAGTGGGCAATGTTAACACACAGATGCTTCGGTCTATCGCAAAAGACAGTTCACACGCTTTAAATGTCAGGAGTGTAAACGACTTAGTTGATAATGATTTTGTTGACAAAGTCTTGAATATTCTCTGTTTATAATGAATTGAACTACATGTACTACCGAACACTCAGTTTAAGTAGTTTATGACTATATATATCTACATGCATTAAAACAGTTTTTTGTCTTGTACTGTTTTATATACAGCTGATTTGTAATGAATTTAACAAATAAATCATATGTTATGTTACCTGTTTCTGTGGAAGTATTTTTATGCATATGAACAGTGAATGTTTTGGAAGGTTACTTTGTTTGTAGTTTATTTCATAAATATTTAATACATGTACACGTAAACACCCTAAGTTTAGGTTGCCTGCTTTTAAATTTATCAATGGGTATTCTCTTGAATACATGTAGTCCAGTTAAAGCACTGTGCATGTAAATGTATACGAGTTAACTCTGACACATTTTCAACAGAAAAGTTCCCAAACTATGATACAACTATAACACATTTTTATAGAAACGACCCCAAACTATGACACAAGTTATAGAAAGAGCATCGAAACACGAGACTATCTGATTTGTACGAGGGGCCGTAGCCCCGAGTATAAATCAGATTGCTGAGTGTTTTGATGTTCTTTCTCTTTTGTATCATAGGCAAAAAAACACATATTCCCTTGATGACAACATAAAACCCCAGAAAAAAGTAACCAATTTACGAGCATCTGCATATGACTTTTCCATCGTTATCTCTTTCCCCGTCGTCGCAGTAAATAAATTTTAAATTCATAACTTGTAATTTCGTTCTGACCTGTATAGTGTTCCACGGATACGAACCTCATAATTTGCGACTGTTTATAATAAAGGAGAACGGCGGTGAGGGTGAGGAAAATGTACTTGGAGAGATAGGGAGTTTGGATTGTTTCATGTAAGTAATCTATCAAGCTAGCATACTGGACGTTGGTAAGAATCCACTCCTTTGCCCGTTAAGGCCTGCAATAATATACTAGGGGCACTTGGGATAAGGTCATATTCTACCAGTAAAGCTAGTGTCGCATGCAGTTCAATAACAAAACCTATATTAAGCACGAGCATAAAGTGGTTAATAAAAGCTAATTAATTTACGTTAATTGGTTTTTAATTAATTAATTGTTAATTGGTTCTTTGAACGCCGCCTTTCCTTGTTGATCCTGTTAATCATATTTAAGCCGATTTTAGGGGGCAAGAGGGATGTTGCACTTTCCATAAGTCTCCATGAGTAGACCCAGTCAAGCTATGTGTACTTCGTAGAGTCGGCTTTGCACTCTTGGACCTGAATGAAGAATTTCAGAGCACGCCTTTGGGTCACTAAGTTAACATAGTCTTGTTAAGTAAAAAAAGGCTCACGTGTTTGTATTGTGTATCATTATATGGTTTGAATGCTGACACATGTGTGATGTCCTGTCTTGTTAAAACTGTCTTTTAACGAAAAGATTTTTCCTATCTTCCCCTCATTTCCAAATTTATACCCCCCCCCTCTATTTTCCCTTTCGCCCTAACTTTTCCTTTTAAAATTTCACCTAACTCGCTTTTAAATTTCTTAAATTTTTTCACTTCTACATTTTAATTGTAACAGTAACTGACATATATCTCCCCTCCTTTCTCAGCACTTGTGCCTTCTTCCCTCTTTTCAATTGGTGCCCTCTTGGGCCCTGTTAGTCTGACTAGTTTGTGTGTCGGGGGCTGTGTTCTTTGAACGTCGCCTTAACGGTAATGCGCATGCGTGAAGTAATGGATGCTCAAATTTTTGTGGCAAATAAATTTTCAAAATTTTGTAAAAATGAAAGTGATATGCATTCTAAAGTGATTGACAGATATGTCAGCTTTTGGATAATAATGTAGTCAAGGAGGAAGGATAATTGTATAATAAATGAGAAGAAAAAAACGGGAAAAGAGTAAAAGTTCGCCACAGATCACGGAAAATACTTGTGAAAACAAAAGTTAGCTATGGCAAATAATAACCTTCAAAATAACTATTTTCAACAATTGCTTCAAGATAATGGACAATATCAGACAATGGGTAGTAACCAGGGAAGTCAACACTTTGTAAATAGTAACCAACAAAGCCATCAAACATTTTCTACACCTTTTAAACAAATTTTTGGAAAAGGGGGTCCCAAATAGGCATATTACTTTTCCAAGGGCAATCCCCAACTCCCAATACTACAAATTTAAACAGGACCCTTTTAAGCATTTTGTGCATAGAAACAAGCTATCACAATTAAAATATTAAACTACAGAAAACAAAAAACTGGTTAATAGTCTAGATAAAAAGAAAAGGGGGAACAAAAGGGTGGGGTTTTCAATCGAAAAAAGTAGCTTTAATAAAAAATGAAAAGCAAAAATATGGTTCAATATATCAAAAAAAGAAAAACATAAAAAGAGCTAAGTAAGGAAAAAAATGAAAGTGCAACAACTTAAAAGTAAGATGCTTACATTTTTTTGTTTTTTGTATTAGGGGGAAAAACAGAGAAGACTCAGATTGTTTTGCCAAAGTTTTATCCTTAATAGAGGAGCAGCTTAGTCACGGAAATGCCGCAGAAGAGATTACATTTCATCGAGGTCATCGTATAGGTAAATTTAAGCCTTCAAACAATAGACCAATTGTAGCTTAATTTTATGGAACGCCATAGCTGCCTTATATAAACACTTCTAAAGTGGTCATGTCCTTTTTACAGATAGTGCTGTGGTTCTGATAAATGGTTATGTGGTTTTAATAAATGGTGATGTCGTTGTGATAGATGGTCCTGTAGTTTAAATAAATGGTCCTGTGGTTTTTAAAAATGGTTATGTCGTTTTGAAAGATGGTGCTGTAGTTATAATAAATGGTGATGTGGTTTTGATAAATGGTTATGTCGTTTTGACAGATGGTGCTGTGGATTTAATAAATGGTTCTGTGGTTTTGATAAATGGTAATGTCGTTTTGAAAGATGGTGCTGTAGTTAAAATAAATGGTGCTGTGGATTTAATAAGTGGTGCTGTGGTTTTGATAAATGGTTATGTCGTTTTGACAGATGGTGCTGTAGTTAAAATAAATGGTGCTGTGGATTTAATAAGTGGTGATGTGGTTTTTATAAATGGTTATGTCGTTTTGACAGATGGTGCTGTAGTTTGAATAAATGGTGTTGTGGATTTAATAAGTGGTGCTGTGGTTTTTATAAATGGTTATGTCGTTTTGACAGATGGTGCTGTAGTTTGAATAAATTGTGTTGTGGATTTAATAAGTGGTGCTGTGGTTTTGATAAATGGTGATATCGTTTTGACAGATGGTGCTGTAGTTTAAGTAAATGGTGCTGTGGTTTTGATAAATGGTGATATCGTTTTGACAGATGGTGCTGTAGTTTAAGTAAATGGTGCTGTGGTTTTGATAAATGGTGATGTCGTTTTGATATATGGTAGAGTCACTTTGGTACCTGGTGTGGTCAATTTATATACGGTGTTGTTGCTTTGATAACTGGTGCTGTAATTTTCATAGATGGTGCTTTTGTTTTGATAAATAGTGCTGTGGTAATGATAAATGGTGATGTCGTTTTGATATATGGTGGTGTCACTTTGATACCTGGTAGTGTTATTTTATATATGTTGCTGTTATTTTTATAAATGGTGCTGTAATTTTGTTATATGGTGATGTTATTTTTATAAATGGTTATACTATTTTGATGTATGGTGATGTTCTTTTTATAAATGGTGATACTACAATGTATTTTGATATATGGTGATGTTCTATTTTTAAATGACGATACTATCTTAATGTATGGTGATGTTCTTTTTATAAATGGTTATACTATTCTGATGTACGATGATGTTCTTTTTATAAATGGTTATACTAGTTTGCTATGTTGTGATGTTCTTTTTATACATGCTGATACTATTTTGATGTATGGTTCTGTTATTTTTTATTACGATGATGATGATCTATTTATAGATGACCTGTTTGTTTACTGGAACATTTTGATCGGTTATTTTAAATTATGGAGACCTGTGTTTTTCGCCAACTTTTATACACTCTAATCTGAGTTTCATCATATCTTGACTGTTATTTATTCTAAAGTATTTCATTTCATTTCCTGTATAGATAACTTGCATACAAAATCAGGCATGATCTTTTCATATTCAAAAAATGTCCACAAGTTTCAAAATTGCTTCCATTGTTTTCATCAGTTAAACATTTCAATTTTAATTTATCAATCTCAGAGAAAAACATTTAACTGTTTCCTTCATGAGCATATTGTGAAAAATGGCCGTTTTCATTGAAAAGCCTCCTGTTACAAGTTCAACTGCTATGGAACTATGAAAAATGCTTTGATACTGATGAAAATTGGCACAAGTGTTGACTGGACAATAGGCTGTGTGTCTTAAATTTCCTGTAACATTGGCAACAGGAGAACGACTCAAAATTGCCAAAAATCACTATTTTGCATTGTTTTTTCTTTATATCAAAACAAACTGAGTTCAAAGTGCTGCAACTTCTCAATGGATTGAGATGGAGCAAAAGGCTTTTCAGCGTTGGTTACACGTTACCTTACGATCGACCTGAGGCTATTTTAGCCTGTCACATGTCCAAACTTTTCTTGGCGATGAGGGCGACTGTTGCCTACTTTAACCCCCCCCCCCCCCCCCAAAAAAAAAAAAAAGAAAAACAAAAAAACAGAAGAGGGCACATCCCCTTGATGTACCATTTTGAAGGGGAAGGCGCCGAAAAAATGGTCACTTTTTTAACAACATTTCTCAAACGAAAAACAGTGTCTAGGGCCTAAATAGGGCATTTTTCACTTTTTAATGCCTCAAAAAGGGGCGGGGGTCTACGAGCCGTCAAAACACGTCTATTAGAGGTAAAGGGTTAAAGGAGGTTTCGCCATATTTTTCTCAGAAATAAGTAAATAACCATCTCCACAGTTCAGAAAGACATCACCATGTACAAAAATCACAGCACCATGTATATTACCATTTATCAAAAACACAGAACTATTGATTAAAACAACCTTACCATTTATCAAATCCATAGCACGGTCTATTGAAACGACATAACCATTTATCAAAATTACAGCACCATCTAACAAATCGACATAATCATTTATCAAAATTACAGCACCATCTAACAAAACGACATAACCATTTATCAAAATTACAGTACCATATATAAATACCACAGGACCATCTTACAAAACGACATAACCATTTATCAAAATTACTGCACCATCTATA